TTACATTACATTACATTACATTACATTACATTACATTACATTACATTACATTACATTACATTACATTTACATTACATTTACATTACATTTACATTACATTACATTACATTACATTACATTACATTACATTACATTACATTACATTACATTACATTACATTACATTACATTACATTACATTACATTACATTACATTACATTACATTACATACATACATACATACATACATTACATACATTACATAAATTACATACATACATACATACATACATACATACATACATACATACATACATACATACATAAATAACATACATACATAACATACATACATACATACATACATACATACATACATACATACATACATACATACATACATACATACATACATACATACATACATACATTACATACATTACATACATTACATTACATACATACATACATACATACATACATACATACATACATACATACATACATACATACATTACATACATACATGCATACATACATTCATTACATACATACATACATACATACATACATACATACATACATACATACATACATACATACATACATCCATACATACATACATACATACATACATACATACATACATACATACATACATACATACATACATACATACATACATACATACATACATACATACATTACATACATACATACATACATGCATGACATACATACATAACATACATTCATAACATACATACATACATAACATACAGAGAGAGGGAGAGTGGGGAGAGAGAGGCTTGGGGGGACGGGGAGGATGGGAGCAGAGGGAGGGAGAGAGGACGACAGAACACACAAGGGAGACAAGGAAGAGAGGAAGAAGGAGAAAAGGGAGAGGACAATGTCGGCGGACTGAGCCGGAGGCTCTAGAGTTTCTACCTTTTGGGTACAACGACGACCCTGTTTTGCAACACAATCTCTTGACTGCGGTTTTACCTGACAGCTTGACAACAGCTTGAATACATGTTTGCATCGCTGCAGCCATTTACATCGGTCTTGTGCAGCCGGAGGGGGATACACCGTGCGTACAAATCCATCCATCAGCCTACGCTGGTACCGGATGGTTTTAGACTGGAACCTGCAGAGGGAAACCCTGCCTACATCGCTCCTGAGGAGCCAAGCGACTACACCACCGTGCTAATTCCGCTTACAACGGAACAGGCCAAGTTCATGACAACGGTGGCTACCAAGGAGGCGAACAGAGTCGACAAGATTCCCGGCTACATGTTGGTTTTGTTGGCATGTTCTACAGCATCGTGGACGCTGTGGGATACATGAGTTGGCTTATCCACAGTGGCCATGACAGTACGGATGACATGAGCAACTACTACATCTACCGTGTCTCGCTGCATACAGCCGAAATCCTGCAGCGCGTATACGAGAAGAAAATTATAATCTTCAACCGCGGCTACATCGGACTTGTGCTACAGCTACATGAACATCACATATGGATCATGACAGAGATTGAGAGGAACACCGGCACATTTTTCCGCATCAGTGGCGACATCAGGAACCTGTACCGAAGCTACAACCTGGCAAATGGTTACATGGTGCTACAGCACATCATCCTAAACATCGAACAGATGTTGGACATCAAAGACAAGCTCGACAGGAAACATGCAGGCTTCTCCATGGCCATCATACATATGCCTCGATACAGGCGGTGCCAGAGCCACTTCGCACAAGGCTCTTTCACTACATCTTGGAGAACAATCTGCAGCTGGCAGGAGGCGCTACAGTTTTGGGCCCCGGGCTACAGTGGTCAATGCATGCGAGAAGTGGACAGCGCAGTGATTATGTCTCAACACAATGGCTACAAGATGTTGCACAGCAAGCGAATTCAAGAGGAAAACAACTGAAATGGTTGTACAAGAGAAGTACAATTTTGGCCCATGTGGCACACCGGACTCATCGACGAGTTTGGAGTACAAGCTCCTGACCGCCTACAAGGGACATCGATGTACAAACAATCGATACAGTTTGAAACACTGTACTCTAAGGAGGCGTGTTAAGAGTGTACACGACCTTGTAGCATGTCACGGCAGTACAGCTTAGTCACACCGTGGCTGTACAATCAAGGCCTTGAGCCTACAATCTGTCTGGACAAAATAGAGTGACTACAGCCGCGCTGATACATCTCACAGGTATTTCACTTCAGGCAATCAGGTAGCATTCAGTTTAACATACATACATATATGTATATCCATATATATATATATACATGTGCTCATTTCTTCGTTTATTTATTCTTCATCTAATTATTTATATACTGTGTGACTTGTCTCTAGATTGGGAACTGTCCAATCATGAGACTTGTTGCCTTTTGTTCCGTCCGCCCACGCCTGTCAGATCAAAATCCGGTCACAGCTGAAGCTCAACATCCAGCAAGAATAACTCTGCATATTTCCACGAAGTTGCCCTTTGGAACGTCAAGCGTCGTCACTGTCAAGAAAGCATTGGAGCCGGGTGTGACATCCAACCGATGTGACAACTTCGGAAACCTGACTTTCGGAGGTTCAGCTTTGGAACGTCCGTACACGTCAGTGTGGTGTGTCCTAGATTTGTTTTGCACGCGCATCTCGAAGGTACTGCCATCTGGGCCCCACGTGTGCCCGACATACATGATTGTAACAGCTCTTGCGCATGAAGGGAGGCGCAGCTCCAGCACTGCTCCTGGGGCTGTAGCATACATGCTCAACTTCTTGGTCGGTCGGGGTGCGCCCATGACGTCGCCATATTGAAAGCCTGAAATCTTCGTAAAATTTAGCGTAGTCAAGTCTGATTGAGGCAGAATGGTCGGCATCCCTGGAACATATTTCATGCCGTACGACCCAACACACATAGCAGTGTGTTCATGTTCCGGCTTTTGCGAGCTCCACGGCGTTGCCTTCATCGTCAGCAACACATTCGCTACAGCCCATGAAACACTCAAAGCCACCAGCTCTTGGTAAAGCTCTGTTCCATGCTTCAATGAGTCTGCGTGACGTTTCATGCACGTTGAAATAATAGCTTCAACATCCCTCTTGCCAGCTAATCCGACTGCTTCTGCTGCCGCGTGACATTCTTCTGGCACTGCTGAAAACAAGAGGCGAGTGGTAAAAGGCGACATCCACCGCCACCACATTGCAGCCGCATCCCTGAAGGCGACGAAGCCACTGGAGCCAGGGTTGGCCAGCATGTAGTCCAATGACACGCGTTTGTACACATTGGGCGCATCTATTTGGTTTGGTTGGTCCAAGCCAAACCCAAAAACATCCAAAAAACAAATGTAGCGAGATATGCGTGCAGCTTGCGCTATCCACTCGTGCAAATTCCGGGCACTCAGCTCATTCAAACTCCATTCTCCGACGAGTACGTCATATCGACGCGCCGGCGGGCAAAGAAGCCAAAACCCGGTCCCTGTCGCGCCAATAGCATTACTTTCTACAATGGCAGGTGTCTGCAAAATATCCAAATGGTTTTGCAATTTGCGAGTCCATCCCCGCGTGCTGACGGACCCTCCAAAAACTCCAACTCGGAATGGGAAACGGTGCGATGAGCTGGCTGGCTGTTTCCCTTTATCATTGCGCGCAACTGGCGGCGCAAAACCGCGAGGCCAGTTTTCCCCTGTGTGTACACGGTCGGACCGCAGCACGGGGGCTGCCATTTCAACAAAAGTTGCCAGAACATCGGGTGAAACATTCACCCCTGGCGCCTGAAACAGTGAAAGATTAGCCCTCAAGCTTTCCACAAAAGATGTTGCTTGTAGGCTGGTAGGACCATTTCTGCAGACAGGCGGCGGCCGATGTTCTGGGAGCCCACCATGTGGAAACATCTTCAGGATGCAGCACCGCGCTTCCATAAGCCAGAGACTCCAAAGAGTAACAGCTGCTGTCGCCAGAAGCCACACTGGACAGTTTGCAGCAAAACGCATGGCGCAGCAAGGTCAAGCGCAAGAAACAGCTACTAGTTTGGCCGGCCGGGTCTGAGACAAACATGTGTGCCAAAATTGTTGCAGAGAAACAATAACACCTTCCGGCCCTGCGAAAACGCGCGCAGCTCGATTTTGCAGAAAACCCTGACCTGGGATGCTTTCCAGCGCCAGTAGCGCCAGTGGAGATTTCGGGAACTTACAAACGCCAAAGCGCAATTTGAAGTGCCGGCTAAACCCCACGAGGGGGTCATGCGTTTCTCCATATAAACTCCTTGGGGGGAACGGTTGGTGCCCAGGGGAAGCAACTGAAAACACTTCATGGCCTTCAACACGCGACCTGTTGCTAGGGCAACTGACGACATTCAAAGCCCCTCAAAGTACGACCTGGTGCTTCGGGAGGGAGCTGGGGCGAGCTGGACGCTGACATTGCTTCGAACGTTTGGGTGATTGGGTAAGGCTTTTTTAACATCAGCTTCTACACATTGGGGGCGCTCAACAACGCCAGCAGAACGGCAATGTCTTTGGGGATGAGTTCGGGGGTGATTTTGGAAAGTGTTTGTTGTCGAGGAGTGTGAGGCCCGCCGAGGCAAGAAGCTCTGCGTGAGCTTTTTTGTAGCGAATTTTGTTTTGGGTATTCGCGTGAGCTTGCCATGGATCAGGACAACTTTGAGTGGGAGGTGAGCTACTCTAGTCGCCAACCAAGCGACGAACAAATCCACGCGCAGAATCACGCTACCTCTGAGTTTTCAGGGACGGCCCTGCGCCAATCCAGCGGCCCCCACCGATGGAGGATATTTGCGCAATGCCACAATAACAAGTGGGCCTTGGAAACCACTTCTCTCAGCCAGCCTTTTGAAAGTGCCCTTATGCTTCCTCCTTCTTGCTCCCGTCGCCAAACCAACCTGTTTCAGACCTCGTCAGATGCCCCCGGCGCACGCCCGCAGTAAATTGCAGGCGTCCCCCAACATCGCGCGTTCAGCCTTTCAGCGCAACGGGTGGGGTGGAACATCCCCCCTTAAGGGGAAAGTGATAAGTGAATTTAATTAAAACTTGAAAAATACAGAAACACACCACTACATACATGAATAAGCAATTACATGCAGTACATAAATGAATAGTAAAACGAGTAATTAGATACATGGATGGCCGGCCCCCTTTCGCGACCGGTTTTGAATCGCTATCGGTATCGAAGCGAATCGGTTCGGTTTCAGTCAAAATGCACAGATGCATTTATTTGGGCCCGGAAAACGCATTCGTGACCCGTTGTTGTCCGCCGCGTGGGCCTGAGTGGCAAGGCCCTGCTCCTCCTTCTACTACTGCTAGTACTACTATCTAGCACTACTAGACTACCATAGCTAGCACGGTTACCACTTCTAATACTACTACTTCTGCAACTACTACTACTACTACTATTATTACTAGTAGTACTACTACTACTACTACTACTATTACTAGTACTACTACTACTACTACTACTACTACTACTAATACTACTACTGCTACTACCACTGCTACTGCCACTAGTACTACTACTACACCGTTTACCGATCCTGCAGATACTACTGTTACTTTTAGTATTACAACAACTACATCAACAACAACTACTACTACTACTACTGCTACTGCCACTGCCACTGCTACAACTACTACTGCTACTAGTACTACTACCACCACTACTACTACTACCACCACTACCAGTACTACTACGACTCGTTTCACACTGAGTGCTACGGGTACGTATTACTACAACTACCATTACCAATACTAATACTAGTAGCGAGGGATATAGAAAGCACTGTCTTTTGATGAAAGCTGCTAATTATCGCAAACTGACGAGGGGCAGACCCTTACAGGGTTATGTCAGTCAACAATCACCAATGAGAAACAAGCATTCAAGGGATATGCCAACACCTACTCGTGAGATTGATAGGAGGTCAACTGGACTGCAAAGCAAAACAGGGGGGTGGCTGCTTTTGGTTAGGACGAGGCGGCGGTGGGCGACGACCCGGTGCGCGGACCCTGGCAGGGCTTGGTTCCGCCCTTGCACGCGACCGGAAATGTGGCGCGCGGGACGTGTCGTCCGACGCCGCATGTTCCGTTGAGGATGATGACTGCTTCTCGCAGCCACACAGGGAAAGAGCAACACCAGATATTCCATCTTATTGCTTCTATTCCTCAACGGGGACATTCTGCTGATCGTGACATAGAATCAGGGCCTATAAGCCACAGAAGCGATCCAACTGACCCAGACGATGGATCGATCCGACCGGGTCCTTGCGAAGAGTGAAAGCTGTTTGCCGGTAAGGAAGGGAAATTCCACGGAAAGCAAAAAAAGTCAAACACTAGATGACGGATGGCCCGGCGACCAGGACCTTTGCTCACAGCTACGCGCATGACCGCGCATGTGGTCGTGGCTGACGTGAACTCATCTGTTACTGCGCATCTAGTGAGAGATTGTGTGATTGGTTATTTGCCTAAGAATTCTCCAAAGCGCCGTGTTCAAGATCCTACTTTTTTAAACTTGTAGGGCAAGACATCTTTAACATAGAGCCGGCGAAGCCGGTAGTCGGAAGTTTCTAGAAGTATAAAACTATTCTTTCCATTCTCTTTCCTCTTTCTCATTATTTTCTCTTGTCTTTCTCTTTCCCTTTCTCTCTCTCGCTCTCTGTCTCTTTCTTTTCTCTTTTCTTTCTCTTTCCCTCTCTCTCTCTCTGTCTCTTTCTTTTCTCTTTTCTTTCTCTTTCTTTTCTCGTTTCTTTCTCTTTCTTTCTTTTCGTTCTCTTTCTCTTTCTTTTCTATTTTCTTTCTCTTTTTCTTTTATTTCTCTTTCTCTTTCACTTTCTGATTAATTTCTCTTTCTCTTTCTCCGTCTCATTCTCTTTCTCTGTTCATTCTCGTTCTCTTTCTCTTTCGCTATCTCTTTCTTTTCGCTTTCTGTTTCTCTTTCTCTTTCTACTTATCTTTCTCTTTCTCTTGCTATTCTCTTTCTCTTTCTCTTTATTTTCTCTTTTCTTGCTCTTTTCTTTGTCTTTCTCTTTTCTTCTCTCTTTTCTGCCCTCTTTCTATTTCTCTTTATTTTCTCTTTTCTCTCTATTTCTCTTCCTCTTTCTCGCTCTCTCTCTTTCTCTTTCTCTCTTTCTTTCTCTTTCTTTCTCTGCCACGAAATCTGTACCTGACCTTGCGAAAGTGCTGCGCGTGCCACGAGATTGCGCCTGCCAACGTGCTGCGCCGCGAAATCTGTACCCGGCCTCGCAAAAGCGCTGCGCCTGCCACGAAATCTGTACCCGACCTTGCGAAAGTGCTGCATCTGCCACGCGATCCAAACCTTGCGTGACCTTCGCGTTTGTTTACAGCGGGCACCGAACCCGCGCCGCACCCGCGCCGAGACCGCGTCAGACAGGCGTTGAGACAGAGGCGGTTGACATCGACGCAGACCCGCCAAAACCCGCAGAGGGTCACTCTTTTTCGCGATTTCTATTCCCCTGCCACACGCCACGCATGTTTTCTCGTATGTGTTCACCCTTTCTTCATCTTATCTGCGCGCAAACTCTCTGCATACGCTTTCTTTTCGCGTGCGCTATCTGATCAGAGCTGATCTTCTGAAGCTATATCTATCTGCGCAAGCTACCTTTCAACTAGTTTCCGTACTACGGAAGTTCCTTTCAAAAATCCTTTGATTAAAAGTGTGTTAAAACCAAATAGTAATGAGGGGCTGCGCTTTCTGGACTTTCTCATCCGCAACCTGCCTGGCAACAGCTGCTGGCGCCCCTCTCGCCGCAGATCTGGGTTGTACCAAAATTAATCTACAATTCAATGTAAAAGTTGCACTTCTACTCCTCCAGTGGCCAGCTGGGCATTTCCCTACAGAAAAAGGAGGATCTCTGGGATCCTACTGATAACTAAGTGTTCCCCGAAACATAATGTATTAATCAAAGGAAGTTTAGTTAGAAAACTTCCGTAATACGAAAAGTGGAGTTTTACCCACACGCATTACCCACATGCGAAAAGCGCGAAGGGTACCTCTGTTTTGCGCACGGGCTCGCCACGGTCTCGGAAAGTTGCCCAACGGCACGGCCGCGCAAGGTTTCGCTACGCTTGAATTGCGTGGCAGGCGCAGCACTTTGGCAACCTGAGGTGCAGATTTCGTGGCAGGCACAGCATTTTGTTCTCATGGGCATCAGAATTCGCGACAGGCGCAGCACTTTGGAACAGTGAGTCGCGCGGTTTGCGAATCGCATTGGGGTGGACACGCGAACTGCTGCATGCCGATTTCGTGGCAGGCGCCTGATTTTCGCACTCTGAGGTGCAGATTTCGCGGCAGGTGCAGCACTTAAGGTCAAGTACAGATTTCGTGGCGGGCGCAGCACTTTCGCAAGGTCAAGTACAGATTTCGTGGCGGGCGCAGCGCTTTCGCAAGGTCGAGTACAGATTTCGTGGCAGGCAAAGCACTTTCGTAAGGTCGAATACAGATTTCGTGGCAGGCGAAGCACTTTTTCAAGGTCGGGCGCAGATAGATAGATAGATAGATAGATAAATAGATAGATAGATAGAGAGATAAATAGATAGACAGATAGATAGATAGATCATATGGAAGGAGAGACAGAGAGAGAGAGAGACACACAGAGAGAAAGAAAGAGAAAGAGGACAAGAAGAGAAGAGAAGACAAGAGAAAGAAAAGAGAAGAGAAGAAGAAAGAGAAGAGAAAAAAAAGAGAAAGAAAAGAGAAAGAGAACGAAAAAGAGGAAGAGAAAGAGAAAGAGAAGAAAAGACAGGAGATGCTCAGAGAAGAAAAAGAAAAACGAGATGCTTCACGAAAACAAATCATCTCCTATAGGCGCATTTTATGTGTTACAAACTTCCGCCCTCCAGCTCTGCTGGAGTATACCTGGTAGGGAGGTCCCGGGATGAATGATTGGGGGAAGCGAATAAACACCGTTTGATTTTTTCTCCATAGCACAAGCCCCAAGGTTGATTTCATGATCAGAGCACGGCACTCGCCAGAAGCCAGGCCCAGGACCTACAATGAAACCCTCTTCCTCAGAACTCCAGTCGCAGCCAGCTCCCACACTTCACATGGCACCCCACATGGATAACGCGTGCGCTTGACTTTCTTCACGTGGGACAACGACCAACGCCGTGTACACGGGACTTTGACAATTATCGAAAACATAGTTGAAGCGCAAAACTCAACCGTGGGGCAACTTTCTACACACGAACGCGCGTGCGCTTGCGGGC